TGAGTGTGAGTTTGTGTGTTTGTGTGTCTCTGTGTGTCTGAGTGTGAGTTTGTGAGTTTGTGTGTCTCTGTGTGTCTGAGTGTGAGTTTGTGTGTCTCTGCGTGTCTGAGTGTGAGTTTGTATGCCTGTGTGTCTCTGCATGTCTGAGTGTGAGCTTGTGTGTCTGTGTGTCTCTGCATGTCTCAGTGTGAGTTTGTGTGTCTCTGTGTGTCTGAGTGTGAGTTTGTGTGTCTGTGTGTCTCTGTGTGTCTGAGTGTGAGTTTGTGTGACTCTGTGTGTCTGAGTGTGAGTTTGTGTGTCTCTGTGTGTGTCCAGTCACTCGATCTTATTCACTGAAACTGAAGTTGATGCTAGAGATATCAGTTATTTGAACCATAGAAACCACTGGAATGGTACAGCGCTCTTGTCAATGCCAACTCAAAGACACCCAGATGCCCTTTCTAATCCCATCTCCCTGCACATGGCCCATAGCCCTGCAGCTTACTGTATTTTAAGGTGCAGGTTCAGGTGCTTTTTGAAAGAGTTTAAGGTCTCTGCTTCCACCACCAGCTCAGGTAGAGAATTCCAAACACCCACCATCCTCTGTGTAAACAAGCTTTTCCTCACATCCCCTCTAATCCTTCTGTCACTGAGCTTGAATCTATGGCCACTCGTCCTTGTACTCTCTGCCAAGGGAAACAGGTTCCTCCTGTCTACTCTGTCCCTACGTCTTACAATTTTGTAGACCTCAATCATGTCTGTTCCAAGGAAAACAACCCCAAGTTGCTCTCCAAGTTGCCCCAGTTCTCCAGCCTCGGCAACATTCTAGTAAATCTCCTCTGCACTCTCTCTGGAGTAATTACGTCTTTCCTGTAATGTGGTGATTAGAATTGCACACAATACTCCAGTTATGGCCTCACCATCATTATTGTCCATCTGGTTCATTGTATCCAAGAAGTGTTTTTCACCTTCTCTGTGCAGACTCTGGTTACATGGCTGTGCAGATGACCCAAGGTGAGCCCACTGTAGGCAAAGTCCCACACTTACTGAAATGATGACACAGATACACACACACACACACGCGCACACACACACACACACACACATGCACACACACAGACAGACATACACAGACACACACACAAGGACATACACAGACACATACACACACAGACAGACATACACAGACACACACACACATACACACACGGACATACACAGATACATGTGCGCACATGCGCACATATACACATGCACACACACAGACACACACACACACAACATCCACTCTCTCTCTCTCCCTCACACACATACACACACACACACACACAAAACATCCACTCTCTCTCTCTCACACACACACACACACACACAGACACACACACACAGACACACACATACACACACACACAGACATGCACACACAAAACATCCTCTCTCTCTCTCACACACACAGACATACGCAGTCACACAAACACATACACACACACACAGACATACACACACGCACACACAGACAGACACACACACACACAGACAGACAGACAGACAAACACACACACACACACACACACACACACACACACAGTCCCACATGTATGACTAAAGAGTGTGCAGTACAAACTGTTTCAGTGCATTGGGGAAGGTGCCAGGTTGTATCCAGCATCTGCAATTTACTCTAACTATCTCCAGGAGAGCTGGAGAACGGCCCTCACCTGATAGCTGGGGTTAAGTGCTCCTCCATATCCAAGTCCTGTAATCACATTCTTCACTAGAGTCGGACTTCTGAAAGAAACGGTGCTTTATTTAGAAAAACGATACATGACTTCAATACAACTGAATTGATGAAGAGAACGATCTGGCCTGGAGTTGATTCCCCTGCATCTATCAGGAAAGTTCAATTCTCACTTGCCAACAATCCTACCTAGAATTATGGATTCCTGTAACCTTTATCCCATTTTGCAGAGTGTTCATAGTCCAAATACAACCCTATGCTGTATGAACCCCCTCATATCAAGTCACAGGATCCTCCTCCCCAAGTCATGACTCCCTCATGTATTTATTGAAATACCTCGACACAATCTGTCTTGACTGCTCACTGAGCTAGTGAGTTGGCATTTCAACTGTTCTTCTCCAGCATTTCCTATTGGAAGTGAGATTGTCTTATGTCAATGGGCATCAGTTTCCCTGACAACAGCCACAGATAGCTGTGATACACCCTGTTGTGGAGCGTGGCTCTCTACATGAAGCCCATTGTGCTGGGTGTATTTCTGCAGTGACCAAGCCGCATGTGGGGATAGTGAGTGCCACAGCAGTGTGATGGAAATTTCCCCACAGTGTGTTGATATCTGCGGGCAATACAAGCTGGGCATTTCCTTCCGGGAGTGGGTCTGGCGATCCCGCTGAACCACTGAAGACTGTTGTCATAAATACAAGTTCTTCTGATCTCGTTCTCAAATCCAGGTACAGAAAACACAGAAAGTCATCAGCATCACCATGTCAGGCTCTGAAGGAGGTCACTAGACCAGAAACTTTAACTTGGTTTTCTCTCTCCACAGATGCTGCCAGACCTGCTGAGTTTTTCCAGCAATTTGATTCCGATTCCCAATATCCACGGTATTTATTTTATTATAATCAGATCGTTGGGGTTGACCAGTGATTTTGGCAAAATGATCTCAACCAGAAACTCCATCCCTCTATCCCTCTGTACCAGTGTAAAAAGTCTGCATTCTTGTTATCTTGAGTAATGTTCATGGGTGTATACCTATTCGAACCTGATTGTGATCTAATCCTCATCAGGAAGCAGCCAAGCTGCTGTCCTGGGACATACCATCTGATGGCATGGAACAGATGCCTCCTGAAATGTCAAATGTCAAAGTGTCAGTGAGGATAGTGGAAGAGATGTTTTAACCAAATCTCACCCGGTCATCTTTGGTGGCCTGCGCTTTTGGTACTCCACTTCATCCACTGTCCAAACTGCCCCTTTCACATTCTCCACTCGTACAAAACACTTGTGAAGGCTGAGGTTGTGTCGCACGGCGTTCTGTAACACACAAGGGAGAGGACAGACAAATAGGTGAGATGCAAGCTGAAAGGCAGGAATATTACTCCCAGGAAATGTTGCTCCCAATCCTGAGTAGTGCTTTCCGATCAGATCGTTGAGTCACATTCACCCATTACATACCTACCTTCCAGAACAAACAAGCCTTTCCCTGTTTCCTTTGGAGTACCAACATGCTGTTCAAACCATTCCTGCTTTTCAACACATTTCTGTGTATGAGGGCATCGGAATGAAAAACTTTACAGTGCAGCACTCCCTCAGTACTGAGTTGGCAGATCATGTTACAGTTGTATAGGACTTTGGTTTGACCACATTTGGAATACTGCGTACAGTTCTGGTCGCCACATTACCAAAAGGATGTGGATGCTTTGGAGGGGGTGCAGAGGAGGTTCACCAGGATGTTGCCTGGTATGGAGTGCGCTAGCTATGAAGAAAGGTTGAGTAGATTAGGATTATTTACATTAGAAAGATGGAGGTTGAGGGGGGACATTACTGAGGTCTACAAAATCATGAGAGGTACAGACAGGGTGGATAGCAAGAAGCTTTTTCCCAGAGTGGGGGACTCAATTACTAGGGGTCAGGATTTCAAGGTGAGAGGGGAAAAGTTTAAGGGAGATATGCGTGGAAAGTTCTTTATGCAGAGGGTGGTGGGTGCCTGGAACGCGTTGCCAGCGGAGGTGGTAGAGGCAGGCACGATAGCGTCATTTAAGATGTATCGAGACACATACATGAATGGGCAGGGAGCAGAGGGATACAGGTCCTTGGAAAATAGGTGACAGGTTTAGATAGAGGATCTGGATCGGTGCAGGCTTGGAGGGCCGAAGGGCCTCTTCCTGTGCTGTAATTTTCTTTGTTCTTTGTTCTTTGACCCTCCGACAGTGTGGCGCTCCCTCAGCACTGACCCTCCGACAGTGCGGCGCTCCCTCAG